ATATATATATATACTCCAAGTTGCCTTCAAAGAAGCATCTACCTTGATTGCCTTATTAGTGATATCAAAGGGGCTCTGATTTGTGCTTAAGTAAGATGGGATGCAAAAGGCTGCCATTCCAACCTAACATAACCTTATTTTTATTATATTACATGTTTTGTATTTTGCGATTTAACAACAAACTAATTAAATCCTACCATTTAACATAATTAAACACGTATTAAGTGCTTTTAAAAGAGGTAAATATGCAAATATATTTTGTTTTTCTTATGCCAGATTGAAATCGAAAACATAACCTAAAATGTACAACAAGTTACTTCAGAGCCCTACTTATCTAAGGTTGCAGTTAAGATCACAGCAGCAAAAAGATGTTAAATAAGTTATTTTTAAGATAAGATAAATCAGAAAAACAGTTTTATAACGCTTGTAATGGCATCCAGTATTTAATAGAAGTTTGTCTTATAATAGATTTCTTCTATTATTCATTGTCATTTAAAGATTTAAATTCTCACTTTCAATCTATATAATATAGATATATAAAATGTAAGGCTTCTTATTAGCAGTTGCAATAGTGCACTGTGACCTATAAGTTCTATTGTCTTAAAATTTATTCTTTAGATTTAAGATGATCTGTTACTAAATCTACGTTTAACAATCTGTTGCGGTATTTTGGGCCTCTTGTTTAAGATGTGACCCATTTAGTCGTTTGTTTCTGACAAGGTACATATTTTTCTGATTGAAGAGCTACCACACCATTTTAACCGATTTTTTTTAATCGAAAATTTTGTGTGGCTTTCCATACAAATTTATATTTACTCATAGTTAATTTATAAAATTATGTTCTAAAAAACTTAAAAGTTTTGTAATAAAATTAAATTATATTTAAAGTAAATTATTATAAATTTTTCATAATAAATATGAAATTATATATATTAAATGCTTTTTAACACATTTCACATATTATCACTCTAATGAATATAATTACTTTTACAGGTTGGCAGCGGCTCAGGAAGCGGCGCTAGCAGGGCATCAACAGGGCTCCACAAGCGGGGGGCACTCGGGTCGAAGGGGAGCCCATCGCTTAGCTGATAGAATGGGTGGCCCAAAGAAAGACGACACACCACCAGGTGGTGGTCCCACATCATTATTTATCCTAACTGAGGATAATCCAATTAGAAAATACACACGATTCATTATAGAATGGCCGCCCTTCGAGTACGCTGTGTTATTGACAATCATTGCCAACTGTGTAGTGTTGGCATTAGAAGAACATTTGCCTGCGGGTGATAAAACAGTATTGGCTCAGAAATTGGTATTTAAAATAATTATTATTAATAATATTATATTGTGTGCAATATGCTATAGATATAAATGATTAAATTTTATTAATTACAGGAAAGAACGGAGGCCTATTTTTTATGCATTTTTTGTGTAGAAGCATCGCTCAAGATCCTTGCCTTAGGGCTTGTTCTGCATAAACACTCCTACCTCAGGAATATTTGGAACATAATGGATTTCTTTGTAGTAGTAACGGGGTAAATAATGTATTTGATGTTATTTTGTTTTTTATATAATTCTATGTGTATGTATGTGTGCGCTTATGTGCAATCACTTTATTATTTCATATGCGAACATAAAAAAGATTAATTATGGTTATAATTAATGGTTATAGTTTTTTTTAAATTTTTTTAATATTTTTACTTTAAAAAATTTTTTTTTATTATTTAACTATATTTGTTTTTATTTTATTTATGGAATTTAATATTTTGTTATATATTTATTTTTCAATATTCATATAAATTTTCTGCTACAAAAGATTCAAAAATATTTCTTGTTTTTTCCTCTTTTTATTTATATTTACAAATTTTTTTTTTGAACTCTTATTTAATTTTTTTTTTCGTATAAAATTTATTCACTAATATAAAAATGCAGCTTTTAATTTTTTATTTCAACAAATTCAAACTATCTCACATATTCTATCTAAATGGTGCTCTATTTCTCTTTCACTATTTTCTCTTTTGTTGTTGCTGTCTTGCAATATTTTCTATATGCAATTTATTTGTTTATATGTTCCAATATGTTTTGTTTATTAAAATTATAATTATTTTTCTATTTACTTTTGTATTATAATTTTATTTTATTTATTTATTTTTTATAATCTATGTTTTGTAAAAAAAAAACAAACTCAATATTAAAATATACGCACACTGTGACGTGTTGTGTCGACGTTTGCTACTCTGCATAATCACGATACGTACAACAACAACAACTGTCAATATCACTATCACAACTACAACAACACGATATAATTTTGAACTAAAACAATCGATTCTTGCCTCAATCGATCGCTCAATCAGCGCGATGACGATATTTGCCGAAGCCAATATTGATGTCGATTTGCGCATGTTACGTTCGTTTCGGGTCTTACGACCGCTTAAACTCGTTTCAAGAATTCCAAGTAAGACGTTCTAACAAAGAAGAAACATTTATGTAGACTTTATAAAACCCTAGCTAAATAACACGAGGCAAATTATATATAGTTGCCTAGTTACTTTTTAGACTACGTATATCGGCTAGACTATGATGGTCGAGTGCTAGCTAAAAGTCATAGTTATTAGAGGTGTCATTTTGGCTAGAAGACTTAGTAACTTAAATGTCGTATTAAATAATTTAGACTGACGTCCGGAGTAGTGCGCGGATTACAATATTTTTTCGTCTACGTATTAGCGGTATTTATATGTAACTTTTTATAGATCAAAGAGCTAAAAGATATTTATAAAACATAATAGACCCTTACGGTAATTTTTTAAACTGTTTTATCGTTGTTAGTGTTTTATTAGTATATAAGTGGTAAGCTATATAGTTGTGCACTAGTGGAACCATAACTTTTTTGTTGTACTTTTACAATATTTTTATTATTTAATATATAGATTAAGAGAAATTAGATAAAATAAGATAATATATTTAATGATTTCTTGCTCATCTCTGCCGCTATAGTTTTCACAATAAATATTGTATTTTAAATTTGTTTGGAAGATACGGTGATCTAAAAATTGCTTTTAAAGTAATAACTTTACAAGAAACATTTTAGCGGTATATGATATATGATACTTTTAAGGTGATAATTGTTGAATAGGGTCATTATTTTCAAGAACTCCTTTAGCCGCATATGGTATATCTTCAGTATGATGAGTGTGGAGTAGGGTCATTACTTTCAAGAACCACTTCAGCGGCTTATGATATATCTTTATATGATAAATGCTGAGTAAGTTCGTGACTTTCAGTGAACCATTTTAGCATCATATGATATATCTCTATTGTGTTGAATATGGAATAGGGTGAGCGGCATGGTCTACATCCCAGAGCAACTCGTTTAGCAAACCAACCAAGTGCCGTTCGCCACACCCAAACAAAATTACACAAGCAGGTGCCTGCGAGCTACAACAATAATAATAATAATAACTTTCTTACTATATATAGACAAGAAAAAATAATATATTGATTTCTGACAGATCTTTTTTCACATAAGTTCTTGCAATAAGCATTGTATTAAAAATTTATTCTGGAGATATGTTCATCCATGGCTTGGTTCGTAATTTTTCTATATAATTTATCCTGATGATAATATTAAAATATAGGACATCAAAAAAGTTTTGGTTGAACTGCGAAAATATATATTTTTTTAATACATAAATAGTATAACATATGTAGAAATACTTATATAGAATAAAATGCAATAGTAAAAAAGCTAGAAAAACTAAAAACAAAATATTAAAAATATTAGAGTGAATTTTTTTAATTTTAAACTAAACTTAATTTTTGTTTACTCGTTTTTAGTGAATTAATTTTTTTTAATTAATAATTTTTATTTTTAGTGATTTTTGCATGAATTCAGTTAATTTTTCTTGAGTTTTAGTTTAATTAAATTTTATAATAAAATAGAAATTGAATATATATTAGAAAAATATTCAACAGGTACTCAGAAAAGTTTATAATGCTGCGCTAATAGCAAAAAAAAAAAAAAAAAATTAAGTCAAATTATTTAAGTTATGAAAAAATGAATGAATAATAAAATGAAATTGTTTTATTTTATGTCAAAAATATATTTTATATTTACTTTTTAATACAGAAAAATATGAGAAATACAAATTTCTTATACAAAAAGTAAATATAATATATAAAAATAAAAAATTAAACAATTGAAATTTTTATTTAACTTAGCAATTTGACTTAAAATTTCGCTGCTTGGGTCTCCTTTATGTGTGTGGAATATTATTTATTAACAAAATTAGCAAAAAAAAATTAATTATTTTTAAACTTAATTTTTTAACACAATTAAATATTGTTTCAAGCAAAATGCTTTAGCAAAACTGGCTTCATTTGCATATAAGTTTTTTTTTTAATTTTTACAAAGAGCAAACGCAAATGTGCTAATGTTAGATTTTTTTTAAATAATCGGTGTCGGTGTTCAAAATTTTTCTCACATTAACATAACTGCTAAGCTCACTAATTGTTGTTTTCTCTAATAATATATTAGTAAAAAACTTAAAAAAATTTTTTTTTTAAAACAAATACTAAATGAGTTTTTTATATATTATATTTTTATTTTCATCCATATTAACAAATTTTTACACAAAACAAAAAATGCCAAAATATTGTTGCTATTAATTTATTAATAATTAATAAAATATATATGAAATATAATGAATTTGTATTGTGACATTTTCTTAAAAATTTTGTTACGATTTTCCTTTTTATTATAAACATTTACATTGAACATACAAAAATACAAAAACACTGGCACCAACTCTCAATATAAAAACAAAAAAAAAAACAACAACAGATTCATCACAATGTTCCCACAAAAAGGGCCCGAAGTAGATCTAAGAACACTTAGGGCTATACGTGTGCTACGGCCCTTAAAATTAGTCTCTGGAATTCCTAGTGAGTAGTGCATTTAGTTTTAAGTATTAGCTAAAAAAATATTTACTAGCTTTTAGTATTTTTATTAATTTGTAGAAAATTAGAAAATTGTTTTTTAGTTTGAATTGGGTTCCAAAAAAAAAATAGTTTATATAATAATTATTAATATTAGTATTTTAGTAAAATGAATTTATCATTTTTTAAATAGATAATTAAAAAAATAATTGTTGTTATATATTAATTGATTGATATTTGAATCAATTCTAAAAACAAAATTAATTAATTAATTAGATTAATTCATTTTATTAAAAGTTTTTAGTTTTAGAATAGTATGACTATTAAATAATGAAATAATATCTATTAGATTGATGTTGATATCTATTAGATTGATGTTGATATCTATTAGATTGAAGAAGATATATAAATATTTTATTTAAATTAATAATATAAAAAAATTAGGCCCAAAGCTACGAATTTATTTTAATGGAGAATTAAATGAAAAACCAAAAAAATGTTTAAATAATTTCCAAGAATCTTTAATAAAAGGTCGATCACTTTAATTGGTTGTACTGCAAACTCTCATTGAATTGTAATTATCACAAGTAAATTCATTGTATTATGATTATTTACATTTAGATTTTCTCACAGAAAATAAACTATAAACCCTTGTGGTTATGATTGGTGGAATATCTCTTTTCATGAAGAGACAGAAAATAAGTTCCATCATTGTAACTCAACGATTTGAAAATCTTAATAGATATAGTAATGTTTTGAATCGTATTGCTATTTATACCTCTTAAAGTGAGTCCTATCCAACCCTATTTGCACTTATGCATTTAATCTGTTGCTTTAATTTGGTCTGTCTGAGCGCATGAATACGTAGAAATTGTTTTATAAAGATATGAGTTATGGGTTGAATAGGAATAGTTTCATTTCCATGCATCACTTCCATAAAATAAAAATGCTTTTATTGAATAAGCGAAATTTTATAAAGATAGACATATGCCTATAAATCTATATCATTTAAGTTGAATAAAAGTATCTTCAGCTTCATTGATTCTGACACCAACTTATTTCCCTTTTCCGCTTTTATGTGTTATAAAGCCTCCAAGATATGTTTTGGGATTTAATACATTTTGAAGAAAATAATGAATAATTTATATTTGGGATATACCTTTATTCGAAAGTATATAACTAAAGAGATATTATTTCATCATTTAAATAAAGTTCTTTATTTTTATTTGTTGTTATAGAAATGTGCTACATTTTGAGCTACAATAATGTAGTGACTACTAACCATTCGCTCAGATTGTAATACATAAATAGCATAGAATATTGTTATAGATAAAATTGATTTTTAATTGTTTTTTTTTAAACAACTTATCACAACCTTTTACTAATACAATTTTTTTATTAACTAACTTCAACGTCGCTGTATCTACGAACTGAATGAAATGAAATCTACAACGTCAACCAGGTTTACAAGTAGTTTTAAAATCTATTATCAAGGCAATGGCACCGTTGCTTCAAATCGGACTTTTGGTCTTGTTTGCCATCGTTATATTTGCAATCATTGGACTCGAGTTCTATTCGGGCGCACTGCATAAGACTTGTTATAGTTTAGAAGATCCAAGTAAACATTTAATAAATATTATATCATTGAATTTTTCATATTGAATAATGAAACTAAATAATGTAATATAATTTCAGATAAACCTGTTAAGGAAGGCGAATCGGAGACGCCTTGTAATACGGATAATATACATGATAAAGCAGGTGGTTCATATGTATGTAATTATAATACGAGTATGTGTCTGGAAAAGTGGGATGGACCAAATTCTGGCATAACTAGTTTTGACAATATCGGGTTTGCCATGTTGACTGTATTCCAATGTATCACAATGGAAGGCTGGACAGCAATACTGTATTGGGTAAATTGAATGTAACAAAACTAAGAGAATTATTGGTATTTGCTTCTAAAAGTAATTAAAATGAAAACACCAAAAGCAAAGGAATTTTCGTAAAGTTACGCTAAAAACTTTAAAGAAAAAGTAACAAAAAATAAAAAAATGAAAAAAAAAATAGCTTTGCCAGTTGTTGTAATTGCTATGAATTATTTCGTTTCACTCAAGTTGAAGGATATTTTTAAAGCAAAATTGACTTAATTCTTGCATTACTTATAATTGTTATTATTAAATTATTTAAAAGAGTAAATTATATATCAAATTTTATGCTTTAAGAATGTTCTTCAGCTTAATGCTTCCAACTTTTTAAGTTATTTGAATCGCTAGTATAAGTTCAATTAGTAAATTTGTATTTTTTGTGTGTAAATTAATGCAAATTATTTATGTCTTGTGTCTATCACTGTCTCTTTCTCTGTCTATCTCTCTTAGCATGATTCAGAATTTTAAAACATCAACTATAAATGTTCCCAGTATTTCAAATCAAGCTATTAAATGCTAAAGCTATATATTTTTATTTAGATGTACAAAAATGTAATAAAAATTATTTATCTCTATATGCTCTATATTATAGAGTAAGACCTCCAACAGCTCAAGCTGTGTCTTTCGAAACCTTTTATATATATATTTTCAATCGAACAAATTGTGTGTGTGCGCCTGATTTACCTAATACAGAATTGCCTATCGTTAACGATAGCTTGTTCTCTTTGTAAATTTTGTAATTTCAGATCTTTATTAATGCTAATTAATGTAATATCTTTATTAATGCTAACATTAAGGATAACAGAATTTTTATTTCCTTTTTTTTAATATTATTTTGCATTATTCAAAAAATGCACACCATTTAAAAAAATTATATTAAAATATTCTCTTCGTTACATTTCTTCATGCAATGAATCTGTCTTATTGGCTTATATATGTTATAATATACAATGTGGTCTACTCTATTGTTAACATTTATAAAAAGAAATTTATACTAAAAAATCTCATCAATAAATAATTGTTATAAATAATAAATGATTTCAACATATTTATTTGTAATTATTAAGCCAATGATGATGATATTACTATTAATTGTTGACTTACTTAAAAAGGACAAATGTAAGTTCTCTTTTCCTCGTGGAGCATAGAGCCTCATCGTTTATCGTTTACCGACAGTTTATTAGAAAATGAAAAGGTTGTCAATTTCAATATTCCCTATTTCTATTTAACATATTAGAATTTTTATAAACATTTTATTATTTCTAAAGCTCATAGGATGAAAAATCACTAGTTAGTATAACTTAGGTACTTACGTGTTTGACAAAGTTTAAAATATTTTTAATGAAGTTTTCTAATGCCACCTATAAGCAAAAACTCTAAATATTATTTTATTGTAAAAAATTAAAAAAAAATTTTTATTATAACATATGTTTATTATTATCATATATTTATTTTTTTATTATTATCTATTTTTTTATTATAATTTATTTATTGTTATCATATTTTTATTATTATCTATTTTTCATTATTATTTACTTATTTATTATTAGCACTTCATATACTGTTAGTTATTTATTTATTATTTTTGTTATTGTATATTTATATATTTATTTAATACATATATTATTACTTTATTTTTTATTATTCATTTATTATTATTATTACTTAATTATATTTTATTATTCATTTACTATTATTATTAATTAGTTTATATTTTATTTTTTATTTATATATTGCTATTATTTGTTTTTTTTTGTTTTGTTTTATTTATTAATATTTATTTTTTATTATTAGTTATTTATTATAATTATTATATATTAATATAATATATTATTATGTAGTTATTGTTATGTATTATATTTATAATTATGTATTTATTTTATAATTTTTATTTTATTTTATTATACATTTATTTATTATTATATATTTTTTACTATATTAGTATATTGCTATTTGTTTATTTGTTATTCGTATAATAAATATTTATACAATTAATTTATTTATTATTGATTTGTATATACTTATTTGTTATTATTGTTTATTTATTATTATTATTTATTTTTTTATTTTTAATTATTAATAAAATATTTATTATAAATAAGAAGCCATCTTAAAATGGAAATAATTATTGAATTTTTGTTTCATATTGATCTTTTGTTAATCAATATAAGCTTCTGTAATATTATGATATTAGACATTCATATATCTGTGTGAAATTATTCATTTCAATTGAGTACTTGACAGATTTAAAGTTGTGAGGATTTTGTCCATATAACTTTGGTCATATCATTTTCCCCTGATTACTTTAATTTTTTTTTTTTATAATACTTGAACATCTTTTAAGGAGAATTAATATAATATTAAATATGTATTTAAAAAAAATTGCAAAATTCTTGAGATTCATTGCAGAGTAAAGGAAATGTTTCTTAATTGAATATTTGGTTGTATGTGCATATAAATAATTATGTTGGCTTTGTATATAATTCTACTTGTAAATAAATGGAATTTTCTGCAATTCTGGTAAATGAAAAGAATTGGTAAAATTTTGAACAAAATTTTCCATATCTCCAAAATGAACACGCACACATTCTACCAAAATCACATAAACATGCACACGCTTCTTACTGATTTGGTAAAGACATCTAAAATTTGGCTGCAAATTGATGGGCTTAGTTACTTAAATTATTTTTTTTTTTTAGAAAAATAAAAAAAAAATTTGTAATAATAAATTTTCTTAAATTAACGCTACTTTTACATATCAATCACTACCAATCATAAACTGCATATCACAGTTAAAATGTATTCATCTTGAAATCGCCTTAAAACGCAGTGTAAACACTCATTTACATTTTAATGTTTAAAATTAAATTTCTTAAGAAACTGACTTTAATTCCATTTATGTGTATTTGTATTATACAAACATTGTAATTTAATATATTATATGTAAAATGATTATTATGAAAATTGTTATTAACTAATTAGCTTGCACATTTGTATCTATAATATTTATGTACTATAAACATTTTTTTCTTATACTTTCTTCTATCGTAAATTGCCGTTTAAGCTAAAGTTTTAAAAATGAAAATGAACTATTTTATTCATAAATTCAAAACAAATCACAATATTTTTACAGACCAACGACGCTTTAGGTTCAACATTTAATTGGATATATTTCGTGCCTCTTATAGTTATAGGCTCATTTTTTATGCTCAACTTAGTTCTTGGTGTTCTTAGCGGGTAAGTCTGTCGAAACTTGTATGTTCTTGACGTTTCGTATGCATCAATAATAATTTTCTTTATATTATTTACTTTATGCTGAATGCGGCGTCTTTTTGTTAAATGCTTAAGAATAATTTCAACTAATTTGTTTAACTTTAATTTAATCAATTAAATTTCTTTTTTATTTAATTTATTTTGAAATTTCAAAGTGAATTTTCAAATGAACGTAATCGCGTCGAACGTCGCATGGAATTTCAAAAATGCCGTTTTCGTGCTATGTTCCAAACAGCTATGGTCTCATATCTCGATTGGATAACACAAGCAGGTTTATTATAGTCAAATTAAATATGTATTAACGAGGATTAGCTCAACCCTCAAGTTATTAAATTTAAAGAAACAAGTCCCCCCTCTTATGATATACGTTTTACACGTTTTATGCTAGTTTTAGTGTTCATTATTATAATATACAAAATATTTATTATATTACCAAATGCCAGAAGTAAAATATGTTAAGATTTATACTTACTCATTAATATAAATATATGCATACATATATAATATATATATATATATATTTTAATCCTTAACTCTTAAAAGTTCTTTGTAGTCCCCAATGTAGAAACGTTAATAGCATTACATTCACATTCGTTTACTATTACCAGCTGATAAAATATGTTTGACTTGACCATGGTTTGGAGAGTTTGTACTTTTTGTGATGAAATTTTTATTTGCATTTTCCATATTATAAATACTTACAAAAAAGTATAACGATATCTTCGATTTAATCTTAATTAAACAACAATTAGACATAAACAAAAAAGCACAGATATACAAAATAATGCTAGAGCACTTAAAACATACATACAATTTGTAAAGAAAATCATTCCATATATCAGAAATATTTCATCACATATATACATTGCAGGGAGATAAGTTAATGCAGGATGTATTCAATATATATTAAGTAGTAGAATCAAAATATTTTAGATTTTTTGATGTTATGAGAAGAACTATAAGCACTCTGTAATGTTAGTAAACAAATAAACTTTTATTCATTTGTTGTACACTTCAATTCAAACTTTTAATATATCCACACTAAAGCTTTAAAATGTTCCAATATTTAGATGTTGGAGCAGCTTAAGTATTTAATTGGAAAATTTGAATCCAACCCTAAGTATTTAAAAATATTCCTAAGTATTCAAATAATATTTATAATGCTCGCACTTTAAAACTCTTATCTTCTTCTTCTTTTACTCAATAATGTCTGACCATTTGGATGATCTGCAATCATCACTGTAGTATGAGCTCTATTGAATTATCTGGTGTAAATACATTTAAAGCGATTTCAGTCAGTTTGAACTGACTGGTGTTTGAATATTTAAATTATTTAAAGCTTTAAGCATTCATGAACAGTCTGTTCCCTTGCATAATGTGTAGATAATATAACAGTTTAGTAAGTAATAATAATGAGAGGAACCCTAAAGTGGAATACTACTATATTTCAGTAGTTTTTAAAGCAATAAAAACATTCAAACAATTTGTATTTTGATAATATTTTCTAATTAATCCTTTTAAAGTTAATTGTTCAACAATTTTGACTCGTATATCAAGACGGTACACTGTCACAACTCCAAGTTCTCCACTAGAGATACGAGGTTCTCCAAGTCTTCTTTTTTAACTTCTGTTTTAAATATAATTATTGTCTTCCATTCTTACGATATAATCAAGCCAGCGATATCGTTTGTTGATAATTCATTAAACAGTATCAAGGATTTACTAAAACCCTTGTTCGTGGTACAGTTCGTGGTTCATTCGAATACAGTAATTGTTTCTAATACACGGAGAACCCAAATCTTAAAAAGAACTTTTTTTGAAACCATGTTTCTGTGCGGTTGAAATGTCATTTAACAGAAAGGAATCTACTAATCCTATTTATCTACTAAACACTGTCTCAATACATAATCAATACTTTGAAGTGTAAGCATTATCGACTATTGATTATATTTATTTTTTAAATATACGGTTAATACGTAGTTTCTCATTGTGAGAAATAACTGTGAAGTTCATGAAAAACTACCTTTATGATTTTTATTTTATATACGACAATATTGTATGTTATTGAACTAATTATTTTACTTAACTATGTTTTCCTTGTTAGAATTTTTATAATACCTGTCATGTGAATAATTTATTAAAATATATTTACAAACAATGATCGATTGAAGTCAAATAAAATCATTTTAATCTTCGACTAAACTTTCTATCGTTAAACATAGTAATCGATTACTAGCGATATATAAAAAAATCAATTTAATTGTTTCTAATGTAATGCAGTAGTGTTGACCGTTCAAGTCACAGCCTTTGTTTTGTTAGTTCCTAAAAATATTTTCTAATATTATTCATTTATTTGATTAACAAAAAAAAAATATTTATTTAACAAAAACACATTTATAAAGAAGTATTCTTTTCTTAAGAACTATTTATTCAAAGAACAAGTGCTCAGTTGTTCATTACTTCTTTCAATCACAAAATGACTGTACGCTACGAGCACTCAATCGTAGTGTACAGTTGTAGTGTACATGTACGCAAACAGTACTTTTCAAACTGTTCACTACATTTAAATTATATTTTATGAGAATGTACTTTCTATGATTGGGTACATTTACATAAAGTTTTCAAATTTGTTTTAGTGTTCCGTACGTTGCTGAGACTAAACTGCTTATTTTCGTTTATTGTTTTTAACAAAGGCGGCCAAATCAAGGCTTTTCATCAAATATTAAATGTAATATTTTGAGATATATAGAGTTTCAGTTTCCAACCGAAGAAATTTAATCCCAAATATTCACCAAGAGTTTATGTTTTATTTCTTGGTATATTGTTTAATATTAGGAAATAAATAATTTTAATTTAAATTTGATATGCTAAAGATATTGGCAACGTCATTATCAAAATTAATTTATTTCCAAAACAAAAAACTGTTATGTTGCTCAACTTTAAGGACTTTTAGATAATGCTTAAGGAATATGATATAATTTTAATTACAATCAATAGACTTTTTTGTTAATAATTGCAATTTTGTAAATATTTCATGAACATAATTAAGTTTATAGGCTAAAAACTTGTATATTGTGTAAAATATTAACTATACAATATATAAAAGGTATGACAAGGTATCAATTATATTTTATATTAGCGTAATACTAAAAATAGTATAAGGTACAATCTTTATCCATTAGTTTTAAAGACAAACATCTAAAATGTATACCAAGCTAGATGCGGAGAATATATAGAAATTGAATATAGTACTAGCAATAGGAGAAATTAATCCTAACCTTACCAATTTCAAAAAACCTTATCAAACAATTAAACATGGTGATTAAAAAAGTTTAAAATACTTATTTTTAGTTGTACAACTAATTAATTAACAATAATAATTAATAATAACAATTAAGTAAAATAATTAATAAATATAATAATAAAAATGCTAGTAAAAAAATTAATAATTAATATAATAATAATAATTAAAATATAATAATTAATTAAAATATAATAATAATAAAACATATATATAATCTATTTAATTACTTATTAATATTACGTTAAAAAATAATTTTGGGTGTAACTTAGTATTACTAAGCTTTGAGAATCACTATGTTTTATTTAGTTCCCAAATATGCTCCAGTACCCAATATTTAACGTGTTTTAATTAAAAGTTATTAATTTGCTTAAAATTAGTTTTTTATTTTTATTTAATTTATTTAATTTTTTAAATAAACAAATATTAATTTTATAATTTTTGTATTCATGTTTTTTTTTTGTGAATAAATACTCAAACGACATTTTCTATATATCTAATATATATATATAAAAAAATCACCTTTTCAACTTTTCTTCGAAAGTACACCTGCAAACAAACATATTTACTCTTGTATGTATATTATTTTGTGTAATTATTTTTTGTAGTGAATTCGCAAAAGAACGTGAAAAAGTAGAAAATAGACAAGAGTTTCTTAAACTTAGAAGACAACAGCAACTAGAAAGAGAATTAAACGGCTATGTTGAATGGATATGTAAAGCTGGTATAGTATCCTGTTAATTATTAAATATTCCTCATTGTATGTAAATCCTACTACACACTTAATTACAATTTTATAATAAAAGGATATTTGAAAGCGTTCAAAAATTATTTAAATATATATACATATATATTTTTTTCTTTTTATCGAATCAATATAAAATAATTATATATATTTTACAGAGGAAGTGATATTAGCCGAAGAAAGAACGACAGAAGAAGAAAAGATGCACATAATGGAGGGTATGCAATATAATAAACATATTTTTTTTATATATAAAAATCATATTAAATAAAAACAATTATATTTTATATATATGAATAGCCCGTCGTAGAACTGCCGCCAAGAAAAAGAAACTGAAAAGTCTGGGTAAATCGAAATCAACAGATACAGAAGAAGAAGAAGGAGAAGAAGACTATGGTGACGACGGTAAATATAATTTTTATACCTATATAGTAAATATTTACTCATATATATATTCGTACATAAAAATTCAATTGTTAAGCAATTATAAAGCTGAGGAAATTTTATTTCACAAAATATGCACAGAACACTTTTGTTGTCCAAAATTGTTTAAAATGACCAATCAATCAGCAAACGATTTCGATCATTTGATATAATCAAAATTTCACTACAAAAATTAATTATAAACAAAAAGTTTAAAATGTTAAATGTTTTTTTTTTTTTTGAAATACACACAAACTCACATATATATATGATATGTAACTAATTTTGAGTTTATTTGTAATTTTAAAGTTTTTTCTTTTTTTTATATTTCTGTCATTTTGTTGTTGTTGTTTTTGACCCGCCATTTAAAAAAAATCAAAAATATTTTTTGAAAAATATTCGTAAAAAATGGCTGTCATGAAAAATTTATATTAAAAAATCACAGAAGGTGGTGAAAAAGGCGATGAAGGTAAATCTGCAGTTTTAATTTCGGAACTCCTATTTTTCTTGATTTCTTACTCAATGTTACTTAATTTGTTGGAACTTTGTTATTTTTATTATGTGTTTAATGTTTCAATTTAAATGTTTATCAAATATATTGTTTAATTAGTTCTGAGCCTGCCAAACTCTTTTAATCTCTATTTAATATTGTTTTCAATTTCCTATTATTTTCTACAAACGCAATTTTTAAAACTACTACAAATGCTTTTTTTTCAAATGGTTTATACACACAATTTAGACAATATAGCTTATAAGTGTATTTTATATGTTATATGTAGTATGTCTTATATTAGGTCTGTTTCACGAGCTACTCGTAGTAACTTTGAGTAACACTGTGTATACGCAAGTGCATTCCACCAGCAAATTTTCGAGTAAATGAGAGCATCTGAGAGTGCATAACATCCCTGTCGAAATTTGAAAATGTTAAACAGACTTTACTCGTACATTTTATTTCAAGTAAAATTTGTGTGATATGTGAATCGGTTGTTTTCGAGTAAATGAGAGCATCTGAGAGTGCATAACATCCCTGACGAAATTTAAAAATGTTACACAGACTTTACTCGTACATTTTATTTCGAGTAAAATTTGTGTGATATGTGAATCAGCTGTTTTCGAGTAAATGAGATCATATGAGAGTGCATAACATCCCTGTCGAAATTTAAAAATATTACACAGACTTTACTCGTACATTTGATTTCAAGTAAAATTTGTGTGATATGTGAATCGACTGTTTTCGAGTAAATGAGAGCATCTGAGAATGCATAACATCCCTGTCGAAATTTAAAAATGTTACACAGATTTTACTCGTACATTTTATTTCAAGTAAAATTTGTGTGATACGTGAATCAGCTATTTTGGTTTGAATTTAAATTTTTGTATTGTTTATATGCGCGGCACTGGTGTTCTCATCAGATTTTACACAAAGCTGTTGCATGAAAATCTGTGTAAAGAGCAAAATTTGGCACTTTATTTGTGTTACGTTCTCAGTTTGTAATTAACTTGTATTTTACTTGAGTTTTACTACGAGTTGCTCGTGGAACAGACCTATTGTAATTTAAACAAGAAAAAAAAGTAATTAATTAAATACTTTTTATATATAAATTTTGAAGTCAGTTATGACGTTAGTGACTTTTTTACTTAATAGAAAGTGTTGTATTTAATAGAGAGATTTTGAACAGTAGTGAATTACAACAACAAATATTATGTTTTTTAATATTTTACTCTATAGAATTTTTAAATTTGAACATAAAGCTGTTTTGAGTATTGCCAAATACCCATCAAGTACCAAGGGTGAACTATTGCCTTGCCAAAATTGAAGCTCAGAGTCAGTGTTCATTAGCCAAATATTAAAAAACAAAATTTTGTTATTTTAGTTCAATACTGTTCGAAACTTCTTTATTTTTATATATATTTTATATTGTATAAAAAATATATAGTTTATAATATAAAGTATGTATATGAATCGTAATATATGTCTTTTATAGTATAAATATCTATTAGCAATTTACGTGCTTAGATTGCTTAAGTTTTGTTTGCAGTCACTTTGAAATTAAATGTGATGTTTATTAAAATGAACTTAACTGAAAGTTTTAATATATTAAATTAGTTTTATATAATTTAAAGAAATATTTGAACCAGTTTTAAATAATACAAAGACTATTGTATCAGAATCTTTCTTCAACAATCTTCTAAGGCTTTTTTCTTATTTAGTTTTGCGTCTATTGTAGCCATTATAAACATCGCTTTTAGCATTCTGCCTATTTATATATTAAAAATATCTATTTTCAGCATGAGTCCTGCTAACTTTTTCTATTATATTACTTCCAATAATTCAGATATGTAATAATCGAAACTAATTCAAAAATAAAACAATATTTATTATATTTAGACATGGTAGTAATTTTTTATTTTATTTATTATTAAATAATTTTCAAATAATTTAGGTATAATAAGTCTCAATTCTATTTATACTTAAGTTATCAGCAATACTGACTTAAGATATTAAGTCAGTTTTGAGATTTAAGTTACCATTGTGAAATCAGGTTTAAGTTTTTGTTAAAAGTCTTTAAGTCCGCGTAAAAAAAATTTGATAACTAATAATCCAAATCTAGAGAATATGGGGATATGGTAATATATTTCATCTAAACTCTGAAAGCTGTGATAAACTGTGATATTTTATTGAATTATGGCGTTTTTTTAAGTTAATAATACACTTTCACAATTCTGTATACGTCAGAATTAAAAATGGTGATATTCGGAAGAGGCTTACAAAAATACGACTCCCTTAAGATCATAGTCTTAAAAGATCGATAGTCTTAAATTTTTATTTCCATGTTTAATAAAATAAACTTTTTCACTAATATGCCTTGTTACATCTCTTATGAGAATATATGTATAATGGCAATATAGCTTAAGTGTCATGTTAGAAGTTGGGTCTTCATGCATTCTGCCATAATAGTGTTTTGTGAACTTAATAACATTCTAAAATATTTCAATTTTTCTATATTTATGAGCTGTTATGAGTTTTGTATGGTTAGATATTGTCTTTGATAAATTATGGTCTAAATTTATCCTGGACACGTTTATTATTAATCTAACTTAAGCAGTTAAGTCTTTAAACAGTCAAGTATTTTATTTATAATTTACTATTAAAAAATTTCTAAAAAAAAATATTTTGTTATAATTAAACTCCTTGAGGTAGAAGTCAAAAACACTTTGAGTGGTCGGCAATATTAACTTAACAGAAACCAGATTTGGTATGGCGTGGGTTAGCATTACATTAAGAATTCTACTGGATAGAGTATTGCCCTGTCTAACTGTTGATTCAAAAAACAATTGATGGAATAGATCTGCTATAATCAATTGAATAAAACATTATTTATTCAAAAGTAATATGATTATAATACTGTGATTGTGATTATGGTGTTAATAATTTAAACTATGTGTACTAAGAAATTTTAAAAAATCCTTTTAGAAAATTTAGATTTATTTCTAATATATATAGATACATTAATTAAGATGTATACAAAAAATGAATGTGAATATTTGCTTAAATTAAATTTAAATACATTTAAATTTAATACTTAATATTTTTCTATAGTTAGATTAGATTTAAGAGCTACACTAGTTTGGTTGCTATTGTTTGTTAAAATTTCTAATGAATTTCTAATGAATTTCTAATAAATTTTTTTTGGTTTCTGTAATTTTAAATATTGAATATTTAATAAATATTTCGTTAATTTGTTGATTTGTTAATTATTTCATGTTTTTCTGTGTTTGTTCTATGTATAAACACTTCGTGTTCTTGTTTCTATCCAACACTTTCCTAATAGACACACTTTTTGCTCAGATTTTTCTTGTTAATCAATTTGAAATCATGATTTGCTTTATTTTTCGAATTTGTATTTATCCAAATCAAATGAATAATTGAAAAATTAATGCTATATATATTTTTGTTTAATTTCATAAAAAACCAAATAAATAAAAACCAAAAATAAAATCTCTTATTCAAATGTGTAAGTAAAAACTAAAACAAAACAAATTCAAAAACTTATTCAATTTTATTTAAGAGTTTTATAGTTCACATGAATTCAAAACTAAAAAGTACATTGATTTTTATCACGTCTTAGCCATTAATAACACCAAGTCGTTTCGTACATTTTTGAATTAAATTTAGTAATCATTGTAAAAATTAATTCACTTCAAATAAAATTTGTAAAAAGAAAAAAATTTATTAGTAAAATATTTGCACTTAAAGGCAAACATTTTTTCAAACTCAAACTGAACAGAAATGCATTGGGCGAACAATTGTAAAAAAAATGTTTGTCGCATTGTAAAAATTTTATTTAGAAACAATTTGTGATTTTGTACAATTTGACAATTGTATATACAATATATATTAATTATAATTGTTCCCATCTAACATCTAAGAGCCATCAAGCAATTTGGCTTAGTCGCGCACTTTTAGCATTTAAACTGTATTATAAATCAAAAAGTCATACATAGAACTGAACTCACCTATCAAAATATCGTGCTCCAACCTTCCCGTAAAATGAACTATTTTTACTTTAGTAAACCTATTTTTCATAATTTTATTAATTGTATTCTAATTTCAATTATAGCATTTTTATTTAATTCTAAACTTACTACATAGCTATCTATGCGTACATATATAATTTTGATATATTATAACTTACATTTAGTTTACTTTACCTTAATCCGCTAGTCTGCTAACTTAAACGTTAAAAGCGCTTACTATGCAGCTTTGAGTAAATATTTTCTCGTCTAGTGCCTACTACTACTACTATTACTACTATTACTGTAAAAATCTTTCTCTTTAATACCCTTATGTAAAATACATATATAATCAATAATCCATAGCTAGTAACTATCACATACAGCATACATATCTCTCATATGGCGTTATATATTAAAAGCGCAATCAAGTTAGCTGCTCATTTATTTAAATATATGTGCATTGTATTAAATAATTTCGTCTTAAGTCATATAAAACTTAACTAGCAAATATTTATCTGTGGTTTACCGAATAACTAATTCTATATATCATATTTAGGATATCTGAAATCGCGTTCGAAACCTCAAGGCAGTTGCACGGGATTTTGGCGTGCAGAGAAACGTTTTCGTTTCTGGATACGACATACGGTCAAAACGCAGTGGTTCTATTGGTTTGTTATAGTTCTGGTATTTTTAAACACGGTCTGTGTTGCTGTCGAGCACTACGGACAGCCAAAGTATTTATCAGAATTTCTATGTAAGTTTTTACTTCACAATAATTAATTAATTTTACTAATTTACTATTTTTCAATGATTTATAAAAAACTTAAAAAATAAATAATTTAAAAAAATTAATTATTTTTCCTTCTGTTTATTTTTATTTTTATTTTAATTTTTCTTTTTTTGCGTTCTTTACGTAATTATTTTCTTATAATTGCAGACTATTCTGAATTTACGTTTTTGGGTCTCTTTATGTCGGAGATGTTCATCAAAATGTATGCGCTGGGTCCACGCATTTATTTCGAATCATCGTTTAATCGTTTCGATTGTGTCGTCATTAGTGGTTCGATATTCGAAGTGATATGGTCTGAAGTGAAAGGTGGCTCGTTCGGTTTATCCGTATTGCGAGCTCTTCGTTTACTGCGTATATTTAAAGTGACCAAATATTGGTCGTCCCTGCGAAATCTTGTGATTTCGCTGTTGAACTCGATGAGATCCATCATTTCATTGTTGTTCCTGCTCTTCTTGTTCATTCTAATATTTGCCCTACTCGGCATGCAATTGTTTGGCGGGCAATTTAATTTTAAAGGCGGTACCCCCGAAACAAATTTCAACACATTTCCAATAGCATTATTAACAGTATTCCAAATTTTGACCGGTGAAGATTGGAATGAAGTCATGTATCAGGGTATTATATCACAAGGTGGAGCCAAGAAAGGAATGATTTACTCTATGTAAGTTTTCAGCTTCGATTTTGCTTATTCGCTAATAAATACAAATAATACATGCATTAAAAGTACATATATATATATATTTTTTCGTAAATCTCTTAAACCATTGTATGTATATGCAACTATTAGCTTTTCAATAATCAGTATTTTATACAAAATTTTTTATAATCAGAGAAAATGCTATAAATGCTATCACCACCTTTAATTAATTTTAATTAACATAATGCTTCTATACTAATTAATGAAACCATTTTTCAAAAATTTTATAACAAAATTTAATAATTTTTTCAAATTATTTACAATTTTTCAAAATTTTTATTAACTAATTACCCGAGTAATTGATTGTGTAATGTACTGAAGTAATGTAATGTATTTGCAATTTTTATGTGGCATCGCGCTGTAATGCTAAATATTAAAAAAAAATATTTTTTTTTTCATTTTGATAATTAAAATCTAAAAAAGTTAGTCAACTTTAATCAAACTGTTTAGTTTCTTCCCCTCTCTTATTAGACTCTCTTATGCTCTTTAAGCTAAAAATTTTAGTTACATATAAAATGTAGTTTGCTAGAAAATTAGTATTAAATAAAACTAACACTTCAAAAAAAAAGATTTCCTCATTTAGGATGACACATTAATTTTACTTTAACATCAAAATACAATTTTGTGTAAATTTCACTAAAATATTAATTAGTTTATATTGATAAATTAAGATTATAAATATGAATATTATTATTTTATGAACAAATATTTTTTTATAATTAAATTTGCGTAACAAAACTAATGGACTAAGTAAGAGTCTTTTAGGAGTGTAAATCACTCTTCAATCAAACACTTCATAGGAAGGAGTCAATAAGGAGCGTTACATTCCAATAAACAAGCTCCAGAAATGCTCCTGCACAATTAAATTAAAATAATCTTGAATGAGTGCTAAAAAGGCATTTTAAAAGTATATAACGTTTTTTTTTTGTTTTAAGTTTGAAGAAATCGAAATAACTCATTTCAATTTTTGTGTATATTTTATTAAATAATTTTAACAATTTTTTAATTATTTAATATATTTGAATTATAGTTGATATTACTAACGTTATTATTTTTTTTTTTGTTATATCAAACAAAAACAAAAAAAGGACCGTCTTTCCTTATCTTGAATCCTTGCATTATCCTAAAGATATTATTATGTAGTGTCGCCCTTCTTAGTGCTATCTTGTTACTATCGAGAAGACTTCTGTAATGTGCTTTGTTAACAGCATTATTTTAAGAATTTGATTTTTTTTGAAAAGTGTGAGTCGTTTGCTATTAGTTTTTAATAGTACTTCACTGTCATCAAACAAGATTTTTCAAGAAATGTAGTGCTGTTACTCCTTAGTGGAACTGCATAGTAGGTTATAAATCGATAATTTCTTAATTTCCTTCTAGAAGATTCCTTAAAAATTTTAAGTTAGAAATTAAAGTCTGTACATGTTTGCTTATTAAGCAAAAGTTGGTTATAAGAGAGATTCAATTACTTACAATCACTTAAATGGTGTTATTTTAGCACCTATTTGCCATTTTTTAAGGAACACAATGTATCGCAGATCTTAGCTCAATCATTGAATAATAACGAAGATTATGAGAAATACTCAAATTAGTGAGTGAGTTGGGTGGGACTCTGCAGAAATCCCCCAGCCATTATAGTGCCCAGATGCACTAACTCGGAAAAAGCTCAACATAAGACAAAGAATAACTGATATAGTTTCTGCTAATTGTAATTGTAATTCAGGTGACAAATACATTATTCTGTCTACTGATCGCTACAGAGACACCACATATAGTTGGATAGGCTCTTATGTTGTATATTGAGTATGTAAGGGTATTGGCTGTCAATCAATTATTTTATACAAATTTTTGATATATGTTTTGCTAATAGAGTTTTAGTTGCAATCTTGAGTATTACTTTCTTAATATAATATATACATCTGAAGTTCAGATTTCTGTATGACACCTTAAATGTGTTTATTGCTGTGTAAATTACAAACTCAAGCTTCTTTTGGAGTCGTCGCTGTAAATATTAAATTTATCTTAAATGACAGAAATCTTTACTTGTTAACATATTAGCAAATAGTCTGAATAGTCTTATCAGATTTGATTCACTTATGTGATAGTCGTGTTTTTATGGGATATCTTAAATTTTTTAAAAAATTTAGAGTATCGTGAACATAGTTCTGATTGCTGTTTTGACAACACAGCCAAAAACTTATAATTCGAATAGAAAAATATTTATTAAGGTCTCCTACGACTTTTGAGAAAGCTGACCTTAAGCATCGTTTGATTAGAAAACGTACTGTACTTTGAACTTGTTCTAATTTTTTTAATAGAAAAATTAATAGAGAAATATACATACGTGTATAGTAGACTGCTTGTAAAATTATAAAAGTTTATATATTTTATATAACTGTGTGTTGTATACTTTGTGTATGTGCTGGAACTGTGGCACATAGAGTCTGAATTTAAATCCTACTATAATCTGATCTTAAAACATGCTTTAAAAAATCTTTAGAAATGCTTAATGGGTCTGAATGGAATGTCAAGCACCATTTAACTTCACAAACAATTGTTTGCTGTTAAATCTTTATAAAGATTTAACTCTATCTGGTGTCCAAAAGACTGACAGGTCTATAGTTTATAATAATAGGCTTGTAACTAGCAAACCAGATCAACTTTAAAAAATTTTCTAATTCTACAATTAAATCTGAACGTAAATATTTATAGTCTTTGTTTAAACAATTGAATTTTGTTTTTAGGAAATCAATATACAAATTTATTGTTAAAAATAAACATTTTCCATTGTAATAATAACTGCATTCCCCTACTTGTGTGATTTAATAGAATACGATATTGATACGATATGCTTACGATATTAACATTTTATATCGTATGAGGTTTGTTGTGAGGATTTACTTTTATCATTTGATCGTCGGTTTAATGAATTATTTTTATTAAAAAAAATTATTTAAGTTTATTTAAAAAATTTAAATTTATAAAATTATTTAAAACTAAATATTATTATTTATATTATATATTTTATTATTTTTTTATATATTTTATTATTTTATATATTTATATTTTTTTATAATATTTTATTATTTTAATATTTTATTATTTTTTTATATATGTTATTATTTTTTATGATATTTTAATTATTTTGTGATATATTTTATTATTTTTTATATATTTTATTATTTTTTTATATATTTTATTATTTTTTTATATATTTTATTATTTTTATATATTTTATAATTTTTTATATATTTTATTATTTTTTTTATATATTTTATTATTTTTTTATATTTTTTATTATTTTTTTTATTCATTTTATTATTCATTTTATTATTCTTTTTATATGTGTGAAAATTAATCATTTAATTTTGATTTATATACTATTTTTAAATTAACTTTAAACAACCAAAATTTGTTTTTAATTTAATTATATTGAATATAACTTAATAAATAACCTTTAATTCACTTCCTTACGTTGGTTTGACCAATACGTTGGTCAAATATTTTTAAAAGTTGTTTTCAGATAGCAATATCTGGTTTCATAATTAATATAAAATATGAACCAACTTTCAATAATTAATTATTAATAATCTACTAAAAAAGTTATATTAATATTTACACCGCTCAATAATGAATAACAGAATTGTCATCTATATAATTTTAATTTATATCAAAATTAATTTATATTAAAATTAATTTATATTGAAATTAATTTTTTTTAAAATTAATTTTTTTTAAAGTTAATTTTTTTTAAAGTTAATTTTCTTTAAAATTAATTTTTATTAAAATTAATTTATATAAGAATTTTGAAAATTCTCTATATATATGCAAATTTAGTAAACATAAAATGAATTTTATACAAACTATTTTTAAAGGAGTATCGTTTTTGATGTTAAAGTAAAATTAAATCTTAATTAAACAACGATCAAACCAATCCGTTAGGACCTTATATACAATGAAAAGTTAGGTTTCCTCCGTAGTCTGCACCGAGTAGTTGATATATGTACAATATTCGTAGGGCACATACAAACACACTTAAAACTGCACATATTCGTTAATACTATTTTAATACCAAGTAAAATAGTGTTAATCAATATGTTAAGAATATTATGATAATCAACGAAGGGTATTCAAAAATGAAGCCTTCAAAATTACTATTGCTACGTTAAGCCGAAATATAAAAAAAAAATTAAACAAGAAAGGATTTTTTTTTTAAATTAAAATCGACAGAAACAATTGCGCAAGGATATTTTAATTATCTGTAAAAGAAATTTCTTTAATTTTGAATCTCTTGTCAGAAGGATGTGCAATGCAATTCCATTGAACGTCGAACCATTAATGTGTGCAATCTTCCAGAATGGAATAACTTTGTTGATTCACAATTTAAAAAATTTGAGTTTTCGTGTAAAATATCTAAAAGTATCGAACTTCTAACGGATATAAATGAAACGTTCTCTTCACGTTCACGAACACGAAAGCTCAAGTTTTTAAGTTTTGATTTTGGTAACCGATATATAATACCAACTATACCAACTACTATATACTATATATAACCATATATACTCGTACACAATTGTTTATGTAGAATTGTGAAAATGAAAAAATTAAAAAGCTGTACTAAATGCAATTTAATTTACAATTAAACATTAACATTCAAACACCGAACAATTTGTTAATAGTTATAGTTCATATTGTAATATAGTAATACATATAGTAATATAGTAATATTGATAACTCACTTAAATAGTTTCATATAGATTTTAATAACTAAAATAACTAAAGTACAGAGTTTTTAAAGTTGAATAGTAAAAAGTTAATTTAGTAGAGTTGATTAGCAAATATTAATTTAATATTTATTTTATTTTATTGCATGCTTTTTTTAATTTTATTTTTAATGAAAAATAAAATTTTTTGTATTATAACAATTAGGCAATTAGAAGCTCCTAAATATTATAGTAAGATCTTTAGAGCTTTTATAGTTTTTAAAATTAATTCAATCTGAAATGAAGTTTTTTAAAATAATATTTATAATATTTAAAATAATTATTTCTTTCAATATGCATTTAAAGTACTTTGAACACGCTTTTCGCCTTTTTATTGCTTTTAATAGTGCACTTATTAAACTTAGTCTAATTATTATAAGTTTGCTGATTTAAAGACACTTAATAAAATTGTACTTTGAAGCTAATATAATATTCAATGATAAAATATTATAAATTTTATAATGATTTATAATGTAGAGTATTTTTTTTATAATGAATAAGATTACGACCAATTTCAAACGTTTTCATTTCTGCTTTTTTTTTGTTTTCATAAATTTAAAAAAATCTTTCCTTAATGAGTTTGAGAATATTTTTAACATTTGAGGTTAATATTTGGAGTTTGTCGACTCTTCATTTAATTATAAATATATTTAAATATTAAAAGTTGTACCATAACTATTAATTACTATTAATTTAGTTACAGTGTTTAAAAGTCATCAAAAGTATTTTAACTAAGTAATCTAAGTTACTTTGGTTCTAATCGCATTAAAGATAAATGATTAGCTTAAACTTTGTTTAACCTACGGAAGACATTTCTTGTGCGGTTGTCGATTCTACTATCTTCCACAAATTTTTTTCTTACTTTTTTACTTTATAATAGTTCTAAAATTAACTAATATTTAGTTCCTATCTCTTGAGAAACTGTTCGTTCTGAGATATTTCGAAATATACTTCAGTTGATTGATTCTTGGAAAGAATGAGTAGATTAAGATCTTTGTCAAATCACAAATCGCAAATGATTCATATTGTACAAAATTCTTTCCAGTTAGCTGGTTTAACTAAAGCAAAATCAATGCGTATTACAGTATCAGTACTGATGATCACTGCTAATAAGGAAGACTTGATCTACCATATAATAACTTTTTCGGGTTGTGGTCCTGCGGATGAAAAGAAAATTGTATGTTAACTCTTGTGTCAGAGCCAATCTTTGGCTGGGAGAAGAGTGGAATACCTAAGGCACATTTTTTTTCTATCAAATCTCATATAGGTGTCATCTTTTAATTTTGGGGACATAAAATTAGACTTGTCAGGTTGCTTTCTTTCTATTTAAATATTAAAGTGGCACTTTCCTGAAAGGTTGATGGTCGTACAGTAGATGTTTTGAACTATTATCATTAAAGGGATTCCACAGGTTTCCCACATGGACGGTGTCCATGGAATCAAAACAGATTATTATTTTTGCTTAAATGAACATTTATAAGATGATTGTTTTATTTCCAGAGTCTGGTGATCCATGGAACTTTTCCATGGTCACAAGTTATTATAATAGATATATGAGTCTAGATATCTTTTTCGATGTCAATTTACCCTCTTAAATAAATATTATGGACTTAGTTTATGTTTAAGTCTGTCATTTAGATTTTGCACTTGATAAATCTTAATCGATGTGCTAGTTAAAGACTTATCAAGTTAACAATTTCTTCAACTCTGTTTTTTTATAATTATAAAATAATGATTAATCAAACAAAAAAATTTTTTATTATACGTTTTGTGTAAATTTCAAAAGTTGCTTTATAAAAATTTACATAATTTGTTAACTGATAATCAAAATATGTTTCAACAAATACTCGTATTTCAAAAAATTTGTTATTTATGATGAACCCTCCAAACGGAGTGGCTAGTTTTTGCGCCATCTGCATGTAGGAACAACATTTTTTCAACTCAGTTTTTATTGAAAACCTTATAGTTAGAAAACTTTTTTAAATTTAATAAAATATCATCTAATTAATTAATAATCCTGCTATATAGTTAAAAGCATATATATATATAATAGGTATATATACATATTCTTTTTAGAAATCTATAACTTCTATAGGTGTGGACACGGTATTAGTTTGTCACTGTGTCCACAAGAATGCCTAATACTTTCTATTAAAATATTTTAAAATTAGTTTTCTATCTTAGGAAACAAGACTCTCATTATAACTATTTTTTCACCTTAACATAAGTTCAGAACTATTTGTACTTAGTATTCATGGCTTAGTACTTAGTATTATACTTAGTATAAGTATTCAGCAGAAAATATCACTCGCTGTGCTTCGCTCCACTGGAAGCTAGTACCCCGTTTATTCCTAATTCTAGTATTAATGGCTTTGTGCTTAGTATTGTACTTAGTATAAGTATTCAGCACAAAAGATCAATAATAGTCGGTGTGCTCCGCTCCACTGGAAGCTAGTACCCCGTTTATTCCTAATCCTAGTATTAATGGCTTTGTTGTAAATGACGCTGTATTTGTGGCGCGTCATGCAAAAATCCACTGCAGGGTTAGACATTGAAAATGGGTTCGTTATAATAAAACTATACTAAGTTATTTGTCCAAAATGCAAACTATCTGATGCAGTTTCTCTTTTTTTCTTTGTTTATTAATTTTAATTAAAAAATTATTATTTATTGTAGAGAAATGAAATGAAAACGTTTGATTTGTAAAAGAAAAATTAATTTAGTTGAGCATAGAAAGTATAAAAAGGCTGCCATAGAACTTTTTAGGATTTCGACACAGTTTTTGTGGTAAATAATGAATTAGGCCAGCTTAGCATGAATTTCAGGTTGCACATATAATTAAAAAAAATAATTTGTTGTTTAAGAAAAACGAATACAAAAATAATTTTGCAATTCAAAAATTAAATGCTTTTTCGAATAAACATAAAATACACAAAGCTTTTAGTCTAATTGCATGAGAGTACTTAAGATAACTATTGACTATATTTACTATATATAAGATATAAACAAACTTATACAAAAACGAGTAAATTGAGCAAAAATTCACGAAATTAAAATTAAAAAGCAAATTAGTTTTAACAAAAATGGTTCTTAATAAAAACTTAAAATAATTGTTACGTTCTTGAGAAAATTATAAATTTGCATGCAATTGTTTTTGTAACTCACAGTTTTAACTACACCAGATAACAAATATATATATAACTATATATAATATTTATATATATTAAATAAACAAAGTAAAAGAAGTGATGAAATGGTTGCTTACTAGATTTGTCAGATACAAATTTGGCAGCAACTATTTTGATTTTTTGAGAAGAAAAGTGAACAATGTAAAATAATTTCATGTAAATCAATGGAAAATGGAAAAATGAGGAAGAAAATTTATTTACTTATGAAATTAGTTGATGGATGCAAGTCGAGTTCTCGCGAAAGCTCAATTTTTTGTCATGCAGTGTCATTTTCCGGCTTAAGCAATTTTACTTAAATGTATAAAAATGAAATTTTGATTTTTCGCTGTGGCTTGGATAATTAATTAAGTATTTTATGTACTTTATGTAATAAGAACAGCCTGCTTTGCATTTCGCACAAGTTTTTTTAGTACGAAATTAACAACTTTTTATGCGTAAGTGGTGTGTAAAAATACTGAAACGGGTGATTATGGCAAGCCTAACGTTAACGAACAAGGGAGAGTATATAATCATAATATATTATGTATTTTCTTATAAGGAAATACAACAAAAAAAGTGTCTTCAATGTGAATCCAGTGAAAATACTCACAAGGAAGTATTTTCAGCTGGATTCATCATTTTTTTCATAAATATTTTATTTAAATCATTTACAAAGTCATTAATGTAAATTTTTATTTATTTTTTAAATTCATTTTATATAAAGTGCAAATCATCTACTCCTATCGCTTTCCACTTTTTATATAAATAAATTAATAAATTTTTCAAACTTAAATTTTTAGCAGTAATTAAAATGTTTCTTTTCATTTATAAACTAGTTTTTATATATGTTATATATATTTTTAAGAAACTATTGAACGCTAAATATTGAAACTTGCTTTTTGAAATTCTAAGAAAATTCACTAAAGTCACTAACATAAATCTAACACGCCTTATTTTTGTACGTAAGATAAGTTTAGTTTTCACTAAGAAAAGCATTAAAAATTTTTATCGATTATCGTAAATCCACGCTGTGCTTGAAACATCATAAACGCATAAACGCGCTGGACTATACAATATTAACAAAAAAAAAAAAAAAAAAATCAATTTATTTTTAAAAAAAAATACGTGATTTAATGTGAAATCTGGTGTTGGTATTTCTTCATTGCTGCAGATACTTTATCGTTTTGGTACTCTTCGGTAACTATACGCTGTTAAACGTGTTCTTGGCTATCGCTGTCGATAATTTAGCGAACGCACAAGAATTAACCGCAGCCGAAGAGGAGCAAGTCGAAGAGGATAAGGAGAAACAATTGCAAGAGCTTGAAAAGGAAATGGAAGCACTGCAAGCGGATGGTGTACACATTGAGAATGGCGATAGTGCTGCCGTAGCGAATAAGGTCAAAAGTAAAAAGAAAGAAGAAGAGAAAAAGGAAGAAGAAGAGGTTACGGAGGGTCCAAAACCAATGTTGCCATATTCATCGATGTTTATATTATCACCAACAAATCCGTAAATATTTTTCCATTACAATTGATTTTCTATAAAACTCTCTTCTCTTTTTAAAATAAGTTAGTATTAAGTTAAGGATTATATTTATTCTTATATATATATCAGGATAATTGTTTAGATATTATATACTATGTATTATATATATTATATATGCATTACTTTATTTCTTCATTTTAATTTATTTTCTATTGAATTCTTCACTTTAATTGATTTTCTATAAATCTCTCTTTAAAGTAACCTGGCGTTATGAAAATGATTATGTCTATATTTATCTATATCAGAATAGTCATTTATATATTATATATTGTATATACAAGTTCATTTCTTATACCCATTAACTTTTTATGAAATTCGCTTTAAAATAAGCTAGTATTATGTTAATGATTACATTTATATTTATGCCTCTCAGGATAGTCATTTATATATAATATACTGTTAGTCTATTTTTTAATTTCAAATCAAGTTAGTTATTTATGTGTTATATATATATTGTATATATTTTACATTTTTACTATATAATTTTCTAGAAGTTAGTTAATGTCAAGAAATATTTATTTAATTAAGCATAGTTACTTATACTAACAGATATTACATGTGTTAGTATAAAATGTTATTATTTTATTTTACTAATAATATTGAATAACTTTTTATTATGAAATATTTATTTAAATATTAAATTATATGTGTATATTTATAATTTATTTTTATTTATTTTAATTTTATATTATTTAATTTATATTTATTATTTAAATAGATTTAAGCTTATAAAATTTTTTTTAATCTTCCGGTCGCTCCATCCAACGATTCGTAAATAGTGTAAATTCATCTTAAATAATAAGAAACACATTATGATTATTAAGAAACAGATCGTGTTTTAAGAATATATCGACATCTGTCCTTGCAAACCACATTGGAAATTTTACCATTCTTGGAAAATACATTAAAAATTATTCTTATCCACACTATATTTTGGGTTGAGAAAACTTCATCTATTTTTAATTGATATAGTATAGTATTTAAATAAATAAATAATAATAAAATAAATATAAATAAATAAATAAATATAAACTATTTTCATTATATATATATAAAAATGAGCTCTGTATTAAATATACAGGGTTATCTATTTTACTCATTTGCGATTGAAATTTCTATCAAAATTTTTATTTCAATAAATTAAAAGATATATTGAATAAATATTATTATTAAGTTTTATAATCTATATATAGAAATAAGCTCTAAACTATACATGGTTATCCATTTTTTAATTCCGAAAGAAATCGGTAATAAAATCCACTTGCGATTGAGTTTTTTATTAAATTCTTATTCTAACATATTGAAAGCTTAAGAAAAGAAATTATATAGTGCTATCCATTTTGTGGTTTCGGAAGTAAACGAGAAGAAAACATACTTGCGATTAAGATTTCTATCAAATTCTTACTTCAATATAGTGTTTGAATCATTAGGTATGAAACACAACATAATTCAAATGTCTTCCACGGGACATTGTACAATATTCAATCACTTTGAAACTCTGAACACTTTGAAACTCTAACGGAGTTTAGACCCTGTCACACCACCGACAAATAGCACACCTTATTGGAAGTTTTGTGGATGCAATAGTCTTTTAACATTTACTTGTTAATTTTCACTAACCCAGAAGCATTAATTTAGTCTCTAAACGCACTTATCAAACAAATGTAAAACTTATCACTGAAATAAATTATGTTAGATGAGAAATGTACATTCCATAGAATTAATAACTATTTAGTAAGTTTTCTGAAGTTGAACTGGTTTGACTTTTGTTCGACGATCCATATTATAAAATGACAAATGCCAAACCGTAAACTGAAAATATGATGGCTTGGATGGAGTTTTGTTTTAGAAATATATCACTGAAATATTGCTAATTTAAAAAATTCAAAGGAGTTTACCCTTAAAGACCATGCAACGCAGACGAAGAAGTGATCATCTATTAAGTGATTTTTTATCATGTGATCCTCAGTTGCTACATTTGCATTTAATGGAAGTTAAAAGATTTAGTCCAATGAAAGCAGGAAGAGATATGATGTATTTTATATATATATATACATTATATATATATATATATTATTATTGTGGCGATATATAATTATTTATTTTTTTTTTTCATAAAGCGGCTGTAGTGAAAAAAGAAAGTCAAACATTCGTTACATTGTAATAATAATAAAATAATAATAATAATAATAAAATAATAATATTAATAATAAAATAATAATAATAATAATAAAATAATAATAATAATAATAAAATAATAATAATAATAAAATAATAATAATAATAATAAAAAATAAAAACTAATTTAAAAGCTTTTATTTAATTTTTTTCACTTCAGCCTTTTTATTAATTATAAAAAATTGAACTAACAACTACTTCAAATATTATTATTTTTATGAGTTTTAAATCTTTAGCTTATAATAAATACTTTTTTATTCTTGCGTTTAAGAAAATGTTTTAATTATTTATAATGTATTCTAGAATTATAATATGTATAAAATAATTCATTTTTTATCCTTAATATTATTTAAGTATAAACTAAGTAAGCATTAAGTTAGCTTAGCTAAATATTTTAATCTCAACATATTAATCTAAAATTCTTTCTATTTTCAAACAAACCTCTACAAAAATATAATAATCTAACAAATTTTAATTAAAATATTTTCTCTTACATTTTTCTTTCTTTTTTTTTATTAATTTTTGTGCTTTCGTTTGTTATGATTTTTGAAATTTTAACATGACAACGACTCGCATCGCATACTGCACTGACTGCCAAAACATCATTGCCATCTCCATAAAAACATGAAACACCTCCACTGTTCATTAAACTCATCGCGGAACATAATAAAAAAAATTAAAAAATAAAATTAAAAACAAAAAAAAAATAAATAACTAAAACGCCTAACGATTTGTTAAACACTAAAATGAAAACTGATTGGAAAAATTGGAACCACAAAAATCAAATAAAAACCCACCAAAAACAAAACCCCAAAAAAAATTTGTAAACATGAAAATGAATTAATTGAAAAATTGAAAAAATTAAAAAATTTGAAAAATTGATTGAAAATAAAAAAACAGCATACGACGTGGCGCCCATTGGGTTGTAAATTTGCCATATTTTGATTTTTTCATAATGGTCGTCATCTCATTGTCATCGATAGCGTTAGCGGCCGAAGATCCCGTTCGTGAGAATTCAAAACGAAATAAAATTTTAAATTATTTCGATTATGCATTTACCGGCGTATTCACAATAGAAATGTTACTGAAAATTGTAGATTTAGGTGTTATACTACATCCTGGCAGCTATTTAAGAGAATTCTGGAATATTATGGATGCTGTGGTCGTTATATGCGCTGCTGTTAGTTTCGGTTTCGATATGAGCGGTAGCAGTGCTGGACAAAATTTATCAACAATCAAATCGTTGCGTGTTCTGCGCGTCCTACGACCATTAAAAACCATTAAACGTGTTCCAAAATTGAAAGCCGTCTTCGATTGCGTAGTCAACTCATTGAAAAATGTTGTTAACATTCTAATCGTGTACATATTGTTTCAATTTATTTTTTCTGTAATTGGTGTACAATTATTCAATGGGAAATTTTTTTATTGTACGGACGAAAGTAAACATACTTCCGAAGAGTGCCAGTAAGTAAAACAAAAAACTAATTAAAGTTTTTTAAAAATTCTAAATTTTCTTTAATTATAATTATTATTTTCATTTTTTATTTAATGAGTTTATTAACGATCTAATCAAAATATATGTGATTCTTTTCAATGTTGTGTTCATTTAATGTTTTGTACAATATATGTAAATTATAAAAAACTTAACAAAATTTTATTATTCGTCTACAAACTTAGTTGTAGATTTACAGATTCACTATAATTATAATTATAACAATGAAAAACTAAATCAAAAATTTTCATTTCTTAGATTCTACCTATCCCTTTCAATATACTAAACGATTTAGTTTTATATATACATGTTTACTTGCTACTAGATTTTAGTTTCATATACTCGTATACGTATTTAACGCTTAAACTAGATTCATTTATCGTTCTAAAATTGTTAGATGCTCATCAAATAGATAAACGTCTGCGCAACGCTAGAGATTTGCGAATATCTTTTGTCTCGCGATTATCTCAATTAAATCTAGTACTATATTCTTTCTTACCCTTCGTTTACTTATTCATATAGAATATATTTACTTTTTGTCTCCTTATCTATCGCTGTGTTCCAACCTTTGAATCTTCTAAAGTATGTGCTAATACTTGATCTTATATTTAAATAATAATTTAATATAACATAAAACATAAACATTTTCAAAAAAATTATTCTCATTACAATACAAAAATCATCAAAAAAACAAACTAAATTATTAATATATAGTTATTTAGAAATTGCTAATTTAATTTTTAATAATACAATACTTTTTCAATATATTAAACATTTATTTTAAATTAAAAAAAAAAAATCATGTATAAGGTATAAGGAATCATTCGTTGTCATAATGATGAAGATGCTAGATAGCAGAGTTTGAAAAGCTGATGTATCTTTACACCCCCCATGAATGGAAAATATTTTGTTTTGTTACCGAACGTGGAGAATATATATATAAATCTTCTAAAAATACAATTGACTCGTATTATTGACAAGCCCGGTTCACCTATAAGTCTTTGCCACACATGCATTTGGACTAAAAATAATATACTTAACGCATAAACATGTAGGACCTTGCAGTACCGCCAGTTAGAGTATTACTTCATAGAGCAGAACACATTTTGTACTTTACCTTTTGAATTCTATATATTTATACAGTTTTGACCATTACTATCGTATCAGAGATTATTGCTTTGTATAAGTTCACTGGTTTTAGAGATTATTACTCTTTACTGTTTACTGTCATCTGTTTCTCCTTGAAAGAAAGATTCGCTTTGTCGATTATAGTCTCTAGATTCTATATGACATCAACGAATCTCTAATTATATGGTTTAGATACATTTTTTTATTTGGGAGTTGTATTACTGACAAGTCCTAATCGGTATGAATATTCACGAAAACAAACTTGATTAATGGAATACTCACTCCATTAATCCATACTTTTATATTTTAAATTGACGAATTCTTCCACTTTGACTTTTGGGAGTGTTCCCTATACATTCTGCTTAGTTAATCTAGTCTGTATAAGATTACAATAGATGGGTTTATGCGTCACTTAGCCTGTCTTTGGCTTTTTAGTTCGTCCAATAATTTGATTAAATTTAAAGTCCTCTCAGCATTTTACTTTGCCCACTATCTGCTCTTTTGTTAGAATATAGAATAATGCAAATTAGATTATTGGATGTTGCGTTCCTTGTTTGATGAAACAAGGAACAAGACCCACCACAGTATACCACGGTGGACCCCGTAATTGTTATGGTTCATTTAAGAACGATAAGCAGTTGTCCAGTATACCGGAATAAAAATTGACAGAGCTTTAAACCAGTAAGACCACTTGGCTGTCTTGGCTGATTACCGTTTTGTTTGATTTTTTTCAGACATTCGAGAACCTAGGTTTCATTGTTATATAATTCTGTTGGATATACAATTATATTGCCCAAGAGCAAGAGTTTTTGAAAAGAAGGTCGAAATATGTCTATTGATCTTAAAGTGCCCACACCTTTTATCACACTTGTGTCTTTCAGGCACCGAGACCCAGCATAGATAGTGTACTACTGTAGGTCCCGTTAGATGTGATGGTTCATTTATGAATAACAAGCAGTTTGTCCAGCATATCTGAATATATTTTGACAGAGTTTAAGATTAGTAAGCTCATTTGGTTGTTAAACATTATGTATGTTGATTACCGCTCTATTTGATTTTTTCTCGTACATTCAAGAACCCAGGTTTCGATGCTAAATAACTCAGTTTATAAAGAGAAATATATACTTATTCTAGAGTAAGACTTTGTGGTTTAAATATGCCTGCTTATCTTCAAGTGGTCAAGTAAATTTCATTTTATTATCTTCTCAATGCTTTGGAGGCGAAATATAGCAATACAACTGATTTTTTGGATTTGAATAGTAAGTGAAAGAATTCGTATGTTAACACCCAATGTATCATATATATATATATATATATGAACTGAAAGCTGAAAACTGAAAACTGCATTTGAGGATTTCAAAAAATAGTAAATAAAATATTTATTAAGTTTTTCCATCTCCTGTCAAATTTGACAAACCGGTTTTAAGCCGACACCACTCTAAGTCGACGACGTTTAAGGTGAGTAAGAAGTACGAGTACTGGATTCGCTTATAATTAACTCCGACTGACTTCTTGTAATGTATTGAAAAGGTATTGTTAATAAAAAAATAAAATTGATTATTGTTATTAGAAAAACTATGTTATGTTATTAAGATAAATTTGAGATCATAAGCATTGATTTTGTTTTTGCAACTCATTTGAAGTCATACATTAGAATAGGCAAAAACTTGTAAAAATACAGTGTCTTGTAAAATATTCCATAGGGTACAAAATTATCAATACTTTATAAAAAAATGATAAAATGTCAATAAAAAAAATGTACTCAGGTATATACTGTGTATGTTAGAATATAAAAAATAATGAAAAGAGCGCCAACCAGGATGTCAAATCAAATTGAATCAAAGAAATACCTATAAGAATTTTTATCACATAGTTCAATTCACTTCAAGAATGAAGAAACAAACTCTAAGGGTCGTCATGGTATAAAAAATTAAACTCAAATATAAAAAAAAAATTTGTTTACAATAAATTTTCCCAAAACACACCTCCTTAATAAAATGATAAACTCGGATGTGCCAAATATTCGTGTTTATCAGGAAATTACTTTTAATTGCACTGCAAGCCACAAGCCAATTAACGCAGATACTTTTCTTATCTGTGTTGAAGTTAATTATTTATTAAAGAATATGTTTTGACGTGCAATGAAAAGTTTAAAATTCCTTATAAAAAACCATAACAAATTAACTTTTGATTTAAATTATAATTTTTTGTTTTTGTTAATGACTTTCAAAATGCGTGCACTGATTTTACAGAATGTAAGAGTAGCATTTTAAAGTTTCTCGCTTTGTTTATTTGCCTGATTACACTTAAAAAAATCATGCAAGCAAACAAAAGCCAAAAACAAAACCTCAAACAACGCTCAACACAGGCTTCCAGTTTCCTCAATGAAGCGTCTATATATATCAGTATATATATATATCAGTTACCCAACTCTAAGAAAATAAAAGCCAGAATAAACTCAAAAGTATATTCATCCAGTATCCATTTTTATATTCTATACCAAAGCGAAGCAAAAGAAATCAAAAATAATTATTTTTAATAAAAGAAAAAAAGAAAAAAAAAAGTAAAAAAAACATTTATCATCAAGAATTCTCATTTGAACAAACAAACTCAAACTCTTTCACATATGCAATTTTTCAAATATCACAATGGGTGTTTTATACCAAAGAGTCCATATTACTGCCAGAAGATTTCTTAATAAGCTTTAAAAAACACGCGCTCAATCAGTTAAAAACTCAGCAATGCTTGACCAACACGTCACTAAAGTCAAAGTCAAAGTCACGCACGTAATTCTCAAGTCTGGATCTGTTTTGTTAAATTTACTTCACCTCAATTATTGGACCTCAATTACTGTCAACTTTTATAGCATCGTTAATATATATATAAAAAATATGAATTAATTTTAAAATTAACAATATTTATTTAAAATGTTCAAAAATTAATATAAAGTCTTGATAAATGTACAAAAACAAGTAGTGAAAGTTTTTTGTTTTTTATAATTAGAATTTTTTTAAAACAAATTAGCAATTATAGATTATTACTTAACTTACTTTTGTGTTGAGATACAAAATTTTAATTTGTACACACTTTAATTAACGTCTAACGTCTATAAAAGTTACACAAACAAGTAGGAATTCATTTGGTTTTAGTTCACATTTGAGATACTCGCACAAAACACACTCACTTTTATTAAAACAACAAAGGTAAATCCGCTTATCTTTTTGTTTTAAGTGTTTGCCTTCGTGTGCAATGAATAAGAATAATTTTTGTCTTTTTTATTTTTTTGGAAAGTTTATGACTCCAACACAACTCGGTTTTACGCAGCATCCCGAATCTGTGTAAAACGATTTGTCTATTTGTCTCACGTTCTCGTACACAACTTTAAATCGATGTTGAAAAAAGAATGCTCACAATATTTGCGTTAAAAATCTTAACTTTAGTTCTCACACATTAATTTATTCGGTTTGTAAATACAAAATTTATAGCTTTTTAAAATTTGAGTTTCTAATAAACTTTTTATTTTTTGAAAAATATATTAATATATTAATTAATGTTTGTAAATATGTATATCGATCTACTATCTATTAGATGTTTGAAAGATTGCTAACATAAAAGTGAAGTACAATTTTACTATCAATATTAATAACATTATTAATTGATTCATTTTGCTATAATTAAAATTAAAATTAATTAATATAATTTTAAAAAAAATCAATTTAATTAAATATAAATTATCAAACTCAAAAAAAATCAATTTAATTAAAAATAAATTATGAAACTCAGTTAATTTGTAAAAATTTTATGTTATTATAGAAATTTTTAATTTTTTATATTATATATATAATATAAAAATTATATTATATATTATATTATATATTTTTAAGCAAATCTTAAATCTTCTACCATAATTATTATTTTGCTATAAATAAATATTTAAGTTA